ACATCTGCTTCTGAACCTTCGTGCACTGAACCAGACGAAGATGTTGCTCAATATCCTTCTTCCACTGATGAGTTGTTTTCGCATCTGTGGAGCCTGTGAACTCAGGTGGGCTCCCCTTTGTGAAAAAACTCATAGCCTTCTCCTAAGTATCAGTCTGAACAACCGGTGCTGGTATCGGTGCCGGCTGTACCTGAGGCTGATTCCAAAGTGCAGCCGTTACCCCTGCTTCTATAGCCTGAGCAATAGGTCATTGATGTGAGGAGGATACTCTGAATCTCTGACTTGATCCTGAGTCTGCTGAACTTCTTCTTGCTCTTCATGGAACTGACTATCCTCCTGAAACTCTGGCAAATACTGCTCTTCCTTAATTCGATGATGCTGCAGGCATTCCTGTTGCCTATGTGCCACTCTCCTCTGTCGACTGCTCATCTGTCCTCTATTAGCGTTAACCATGCTATTAACATAGAAAGGCAGATATCAGTACGAGTTTAAATGAACCGTAAAAGGAATACAATGAATCATAAACTTAAGCTATAATCAAGAGAAAAAGCTACGCGGAAGTCTTAATACGAAACATCCTAGAGACACTTGAACTTGGAGTGCTCTGATACCAATTGTGATACCCCTCAGATCCGAGACACGGGTTGATCAGGCCCAGGCCCAAACCGGAGGGAAATATCAAACAATTAAAGTATTTTAAAGCGAACACAGAAGATAAAGATTTAAGAATTTAAATTACAAAGCTGAAAGAATTAAGAAATATAAAATCCTCCGAATAAAACTGAATAATAAAACTCCAATTCTCCAAAACCTCCAAAAGTACAACTTAGGAATCCATCTTGTGGACTCCTAAATAAAATCCCAACTGAACTGAATAACTGAAAATAAAACTAAACTAGAACATCGAGAGAAGTCCTACGTAAGCAGATGAATAAGAGATTATCCTCGATAAGCACGATCAAGCTCTAAGGCTGGAACCATCCTATACCTGAAAAGAATAAAAGAGTGGGTCAGGCCCACGAACAAGTTCTAATCTAACTGCAATCCATACAGTGACCCTACATAAGTATATACATAAATATTCATACAGTGACCCTAGATACCTCACAATAGCTATCTAGTCCATAAGTATATACATATATCCACACTAAGGGACATTCACTGGACTACAATAGGGGTCTAAACCTGAATAGAAGGTAACATGCGAAAACGCACCCAAAGGTGGGCATGAGTACCTAGACCTAACAGGGTACACCTCAACCTACCATAGCCAGCTACGCATCCACTGCATGTACGCACCCTAACCAACGAGCCTGAGACTCAAGCTCATCTCGTGGTACCATAACCATATATCTAAAGTCTATCCCAAAACCAGAGTATGTCATTCAATTATTCATTGAGGTGACATACAAAACACAGTCCAGTTAGTCACTCAACTTATTCAGTTGATATGACCTAACTACAACCAACTAATCTAGGAAGTCATTCAACTTAGTTAGTTGATCTGACTTAAACACAAATGGGATTCAATATTTTACAATCCATTCCTTTCATCTAGTAGGTTAGGTCTTAGTATTTTGAGCTAAATCGTCCCTAGTATGCCACCGTCCCATACCGGTACATAAAATCCTCCATATCCATGTAAATTACAACACATAAATAATAGTTTAGCAATTTACAGTCCAAAATTATAATCCAAATAATTGCAGAAAAGTGTTTAATATTTCAGCAACTATAATCCAAGCGTTAATCCATGCAATTGCTAAAAAGGTTAAATATTTCAACAATTGACATCCAGAGCATGCATAGATCAATACAAATAAATAAATGACCCTATCATGTATTTAAAATAAGTTTTATAAACATACTAAATCCCATTAAATTGCTGAAATTTAATTAAGCAATTTATTTCTCTTTCATCCGTTAACAGTATAGAAAGTTCATTAATTTTATACTGTTTGTCCCATTGAATTAGAGGTCAACTTTAACCAACTTAAGGTCTTAATAACACCCAAAATCAATTTCTGAATCCCTCTGTGAAGACCCAGAACCATCAGAACAGTTCCCATGCTTAAACAGTACCAACAGTGCGTAAAAAAAATATCAGAAAGTGTAAATTGGAGAGAGTCTGGTCCATGACTTTGGGAGCAGGCTCTTTATGCTTGGGAGCCAGCTCCAAGGACCTTGGAGCCTGCTCTGTGAGTGTGGGAGCCGGCTCTCATCACCTCTGAGAGCTTCCAGTCCCGTTTCGCTCCGTTTCAGCCCATCTGCTCCGTCTCCGACCATTCCAACCTCACTGTTCTTCCTCTACATTGAACTTAAAGGCCTTAAATCTCATCTAGTATTAATTCAAACCTTGGTTTATAGTAGTAAGACTCAATACAAGATTAAAACAGTGGTGACTTTTTATGGTAAAATAGAGACGATGCAACCATACATGATAGAATTATTTTAGATAAATTTCACAGATAACAAATAATCAAAGTTAACATATAAAAATCATGCATGGTTTAGTTAATGTCCAATTAATCTCCTAGAGACTATCTAGGTGCACAGAATACAAGCCAACGGGAAAGAGAAAGAAAAGAACTTGCCTTTGATTTCAGTAACGATATCTTGGCGTCATCTCTAAGTTTCTGGCAATACTAAACACTGTCAAGCCTTCTACTACTCCGGCTCTCCCTTCTCCTAGGTCCGACCTTTAAGCCGCAGTCGAAACCCTCACCGAACGGGCTTTGTTTTCTCAAAACCTCTCTCTCTTTCTCTCTATAACCTTGGTACATGAATAGGGGTTGTGTATTCTCAAAACCCTAAGTCGACATACTGTTCTATATATATAGACTTGACTAAAACCCTATTCCCTGTATGATTAGAGATGGAACCCTAATTACATCCGAGTCGGCCCATAGAACACAACCCAAGTTGATCCATGTCGGCAACACAAACTGATTTCTTAGAGAACCCTAGTTAAGTAACGTATTTTAAAAACTCATTTAACTTATTTTACATAATTAAACAATTACAATAACTCAATTAATACTTAATTAAACCAGTTACCAATAATTAAAAGAGAACAATAAAGGCTAGTAAAGAAACAATTAAATCAAATAATTAAACAAAACAGCTACTGCAATTTAAAATAGAACAAATACGGCAATTTAATATAAGTAATTAACCATAATGTAACACAACCAATCAAACAACCAACAAAACACATAAGAATGCAATAATTACCATAAAACCATAAAATACACTATCGAGACTATCCTTTTAAAATTAGGGGAATTACAAACTTGCAGAGGTGTTTGTACCACTTGAAAAAGTTGCAACCTTCTTGCCACCTTTTGTGGTAGTATTGATGTTGTCCGTCATGACCGCGATGTCCTTAGGGGTATTCTTGCTCTTCGTCAGAATCTTGTTGGAAGTCATAGAATTTGACGATGAATTTGTTGAGGATTTGATGTAGGAGAAAGAGATGAGAGGCACAGGATGTCCCACCGGGCGTGCCAAAAATTTGTACACACAAATTTCATAGTCTGCAAATAAAGAACAAAATAGGGAGAAAATAGAATTTTATTTAGTTCATAAAAATTTGAGTATAATCCTCTGAGATATTCTTTACAAAAGAAAGAAAATATCATCTGATTTAATCTCCTTTATTGGTTGGATTCAAGGGGTTTTTACAGCTTGATCTTGAATTGGGTTGTTGACAATCTTCTTCAAGTATTTGTAGTTGAAGAACATCGCCGATGATTTCTGATCGAGGACTGACGAAGCTTGATCTCGAACAGTATTGTGTGGTGATCCGTCAAACTTGTTGAATCACGGAGAAAGAACGGCACGATTTTGATGTGCTTGTTGTCCTTTGTTGAATTTGAGGAAAAATGGCATGGCTTTGGATGTGCTTGTTATTCTTCGCCTTCAGAGAGAATTTGGTAAAGAACGGCACGACTTTGGATGTGCTTGTTGTTAATCATTGTTGAATTTTGATGAAAAACGGTACGATTTGATGTGCTTGTTGTTAATCACCGTGGAATTTTGATGAAGAACGGCACGATTTAATATGCTTGTTACTCTTCACCTTCAGGTTTGGATGTTGGGGATGAATGTTGGCAAAACTTCTGTATTTACTCTGGAATTTTGAATCTTTGGATCCATCTAGATTTGTGAGTCTCTCAATTTTTGGACCTTCCTTTCCATTTTCCTCCATGCCTTTATTTATAAGCTTCTTGGATTAATAGGATGATAACATGTGTTCTCTCCTAATAAAGACAAAATTATAACTTGGTCGGGCCGGTCATATTACAATAATTGTCCTTAAAAATAATTATTCCAAATATATTTTATTAGGAATAATTATCTTTTTATTTAATAATCTAGGCCGGGCTAATTAAATAATTTAAGTGGACCAAGCTTGGGCCAATTAAATAACTTAATTGAACATTAGACCTATATTTGATGGGTCAATTTGTCAAAACAAAAGTTCATAAAATTCTAGTGTTTACAAATGTAATAATGAACAGTGAAAAAAACGTTTGGTAAAAATTGTTTTGTTTTGCACAGTGTCTAAACGTTTCGTGAATAGTGACCAAAATTGAAACACTAATTTGATGTTTTTATATGTTTTCGGTTTGTAACTTTTGGTACTGTAACAACGATCAGTATTTTTTTTTAAAAAAACCCCTCGAATGACATTTTAAAACTAAATACTATATTTTTCGGACTTGTAATACTTTTAAACATTATCAAATATATTTTTAATTACAATTCAAAATTTTATAATAAAATATTTATTTTATTTTAAGTTAAAATAAAAATAAAACGTGACAGTTAAACATTTTCTCAGTGCTGCGGTGGGAAAAGATTTGGGTGCATCAATTCCAACTCTCCTTCGGAATCAACCAAAATAGCCCTAGGCTCAGGGTACTAATTTACGGTCAACGAGAATGACCATTTTGCATTTAGGATGCATGGATGATGAAGTGGATTCATGACACCTCATTCGTTCCAAAGTTGGGAAGCACTCCACACCTGGTTGAGCCATATTGAAGTTGGATCGGAACTCAGGCCCATTAGGACCCTTTAAGCAACTAAATCCTTGTGACAAACTTTTCAGACCTCGATCCAATATTTTGTCAGTGCCTAGAGTATCCCCCATTTCAAGATAGAACTGATGAGGGCATTGTACAGTGGAGTGCCAACCATTCCATACTTACGATTCTGCCACCATTCTCCTCCCACTATCCTCTCTCTGGAATCCCCATTTGTCATTCATCTTCCTCCAAAACAATACCCATCTCGAAGTTCAAATTCTCCACTTCTACAAAGACACAGACAAAGACCCACAATCGCAGCTTCAATGGCCTCCGCACCATCAACTACAGAGCCAGAGACAGAGATCAAGCCCTTCTCAGTCCTCTTTGTGTGCCTGGGCAACATCTGCAGAAGCCCAGCGGCTGAGGGTGTCTTCATAGACCTAGTCAAGAAAAGGGGCCTTGATTCCAAGTTCAAGATTGACTCTGCTGGAACCATCAATTACCACGAGGTATACTATACATGTCTTATATCTATCGATATAAAAATATAAATGTGCACATACTATATCGTCTTGCACTCTGTTATTTGTAATTGAGTTGCTTAATTCCTGCCCAAAACAAGTGCTATGTAGTGGGAAGAATCATGATTTCATTTGGGTTTTTTCCATTCTTGTTATTGTTGCTTTTAAGGGTAATGAAGCAGACCCAAGGATGAGGGCTGCCGCTAAAAGGCGCGGTATCATGATAACTTCGATATCCAGGCAGATACAGCCGTCAGATTTCATAGATTTTGATCTCATTCTTGCAATGGACAAGACAAACAAAGGTGATATGATACATGGAGAGTACCGGAAACATGAATCTGTGTGTATATATATATATATATATATATATATATTTTTTTTTTTTTTCTCCTTTTTTGAGAGTAGGATTTTATGGAGGTCTATAACATGGTCATTTACGAGTATAAATATTGATTTATTTGCGTGTGCTGTCTATTGTTTGTTTAAATTTTTCTGGGTGTTGATGTTGTATGTAGATGACATACTTGGGGCTCTTGAGAGGTGGAAATTTAGGGAGACATTACCTGCTGATGCACATAAAAAGGTTACTAGAAGGGTGATAGTGTTGCTCGGTGTAGTGTGGACTTTTTGATCTTATTAGTTGTTTGATCCTATTTGTGAACTGATCGTGCAGGTCCGGTTAATGTGCTCCTATTGTAAGAAGCATGATGAAACCGAAGTCCCAGATCCTTACTATGGTGGACCCCAGGGTTTTGAGAAGGTACTAACCCTTCTTGTCTGTTCTCTGTTGGAATATGAAATGTTAGATCATGATCAATTACACCAGCTTTTTAAATTACCAATTGTTCAAATAATTTTCGTCTAAGGATGATATTTTGCAGTGCTCTTGAATTTTAGTTCTTCCACTTCTTTTGTGGAAGCACCAAGGTCTAGACAGATGGGATTATCATGATATGGCATAGCTTTGTTTGACGAGCTGGAGTCCCGTGTCATGAATTTTTAGGATGTTGACACGACTGAACAATTCTTGAAGCTAAAAATGTGACGCGTTTGATAACATTGAGTCAATGTATTAACATTATAGAAAGGACTCAACCCCAAAGGGTTGGCACAAGTGGGTAAGAACTTGGCCCTGGTGCCCCAGGAAGCATCGGGTCTAAAGTAAGAATCCTCTTGGGTGCAAACCTGCATTGAAATATGCCATTGACTTGAGTAAAGCCAAACCAACATTAGGGTTTATATCATTACAAGCCAAGAAGTAATAAGTACTTAGCCATGGACTTGGAAACCCCCTATTTTCCAATTGAAATGTTGGCCTACTTCCACACCGGATATATCATGTAAACTTACGCCTCATAAATGTTTCATGTTGGGACCTTAGGCGCACATTAGCAACATTGTTACATATTGTAAAAATCTAAAAAGTAGATTTCTTGGTTTTCAGCTAATTGTAAAAAGTTGATGCCTCGGGTTTTGTAATTTAGACTTGTACGACATGCTTATTTCCTCTCTTACCCGTAAAAATCTATCAAGAACAATATCTGAATATTCATCTTTGCATAGCAATTTACCATAAGCTGCTTATGGTTCACAGATGTTTCATGTTGGGACCTTAGGGGCACATTAGCACCATTGTTGCATAGTAACCCACTAATTGTAAGAAGTAATTTGATGTTTCCCGCCTAGGTTTATCAGGGCAAGAGAATATGAGCCTCTTTTGGATAAAGATGTAGATGAAGAATTAATCCAATCTTGTTGTATGGAGATCAAATCAGGTAGATAGAGAACCAAATAAGCTCTCAGAATTAGGCAATTAGCTTCCTTGACTTTAGAAAGAAGATATGGTACCTTTGTCACAAACAGAATTGCCAAACTCTCTAGATACTCGATGGGGCTCTTCAAATTTACCGTCTTGGAAAGGAGATGGAATGATCATAGTAATAATAAGCATGAGCAGAGTTAAACTACAATAATCAACAACGTCTTCCTCGACTAAATTCCCCACCCTTTTGATGTAGATAGTGGACTTTAGTGACCCGTCGACTCTACAGAATAAGACCTCAGCAGCATCAAACTCTCTCTGCTCTTATCTAAGCTTGCCAAAAGTTTCGTCTTGATAACTGATAAGAAGAGTGTTCCATGTCAAACACCTTGCTACCTCTCATTGACGTCAAAAAAAAAGAAAAAGAAAAAAAGAGAGGAACTAGCATGTGTTATGGGAATCTCTCGCACAAGAACATCTAAAGGAACATTGATATGCATACCGAACCACTGAATATCAACTTCTTGATCTCAACATGCCCTCACTCAACATCTCTAGCCGATGGTATACAATTAGGGCTGCAAACAAACCGGGTTGTTCATGAACAACTCGAGCTCGATTCAACATGGACTCAGTTTGTGTTCATTAAAACGGCGATACTCAAACATCTCTATGCTCCGCTCGGTTGTTTGTGACCAAGCTTGCTTAAGGGCTCATTTTGGGCTCGTGAAAAATGTATATAAAATTTATTTTGAGTCCATGTGATATTAGATTAGCCTACATGACTAGACTTGCCGAGCCAAGACCGAACAACTCAATGCTCGGCTTGGCTTATCTTGTTTGTAGCCTTATACAATGCCCATGAAGAGCCATAATCCTCTGAGAGAGCTTCATTTCAAAAGACTAATTAGCCATGGGCAAGGAAAATCTCCAGGTAACCCATTGAAGGTATGCCTTAACAGCCAGCATAGCCAATGAAAATTAGGTGATTTTCCTCGAAAACGGCCTTCAAGAGGGGCTGAATATCTTTAAAAGTACCTCATACAAGTCCCAAAAATACATTTATTGGAACCTTTTAGCTACAGGAAGGAAGAAACTCCTTGTGCTTCCCAAATCATGAGCCCATGGTCTAGGTTTCCTTTATTGATAATTGTTGTGAAACATAAAACATAAGTGAAGAGATAAATCAAACAAGTAGAACACACAGATATTACGTGGTTCAACCACTAGGGCCTATATCCACGATACAAAGAGCCCAAAGTGCTACATCATTTTATTATAATACTCTCTCAATTCATACACAATACAATGGTGGAGGCTCCTTTATATAGGAGAAGAAATTATGAGAATGGAAAGAATTAGAAAATAGGAAACAAGGAGGATTTTTCTCCACTGATTCCTCTAGCAACACCAAATTTTTAATAATAAGAAACAACATCAATTGTTGAAAGATTTTCATTCATTGATTCCTTCATTGAATCTTCAATACTCCCTCTCAAGTTGGAGCATGAATGCCCAACTTTCCATTGAGATGATGAGTAACAACAAGTGTGAATAATGGAGAGAGAAGAGAGAAGATGAAGAACAATGCTACCGAACACACTGACAGCCTAAACAAGTCAACAAAAAACTGTCGGAGAGACGGCAAAGGCGAGGACAATGCTACCGAACATACCGGCAGCCCAAATAAGTTCATAAAAACTGCAAGAGACATAGCAAAGACGAAGATAATGCTACTGAACACACCGGCAACCCAAACAAGTCAATAAAATCTGCCGGAGACATGGCAAAGGCGAAGAACATTACTGCCGAACAAACCGGCAGCCTAAACAAGTCACAAATAATACCGAGAAACCCTTAGAAACATTTCAGATGCTAAGGGAATACCCTAAAATAGGGTCTGAACCTAGTAAAAGAAATTAGGCTCTGATACCATGTTTTAAAGTATAAAACGGAAGCAAAGAGAGTCACAAATAGTACTGAGAAACCCTTAGCAACATTTCAAATGCTAAGGGAATAACCCAAAATAGGGGTCCGAACCTAGGAAGAGAAATTAGGCTCTGATACCATATTGTAAAACATAAAACAAAGTGAAAAGATAAATCAAACAAGTAGAACACACAGATATTATGTGGTTCAGCCACTAGGGTCTACATGCACGACACAAAGAGCTCAAAGGGCTACATCAGTTTATTATAATACTCTCTTAATTCATACACAATACAATGGTGGAGGCTCCTTTATATAGGAAAAGAAATTATGAGAATGAAAAGAATTAGAAAATAGGAAATAAGGAGGAATTTTCTCCACTGATTCCCCTAGTAGCACCAAATCTTCAATAATAGGAAATAACATCAAATACTGAAAGATTTTCCTCCACTGATTCCTCCATTAAATTTTCAATACTTTAGAAAGTCGACCATTTTATCTTCTTCTATTGAGTAACTCTAGTTGGCCAGATTCTTGGAGCTGAAATGATTGAGAGCTATAAGCTGACCTATATGTTCCAACATAGGTGTGAACTCACCCTAGGTGGGTGATATCAATATCAGATAAGCGCTCTACTCACATCTAGGACGCATGCACTAAGTACGCCTTTAAGAGAAAGCATGCAACTTGTTAGGCTCTTTATGTAGTTGTAATTTTTTTTATGAGAAGTTGTAAATCTGTAGAGAAATTTGTGGTTTTCATGGATAACATGAGAGTATAGTGGGCCTTGTTGGGCTCTTTGTGTAGTTGTTTTTTGGGGCTCACTCCTATTTGAATGCTTTTAATGAAATTATATTTGTCAAAAAAAGGTTTCCTTTAAAAGTCATAGTAGAAATATAGAAAGAAGAAAATGAGAGAATTGTGTAAAGGCTTGAATGAGATGAATCACTCATTCACAACTCTAATATTTATAGATAAAAATAGCACATGCTTATATTACAAGAAAGGAAACTAAATCAAATCTAAATCAAATCATAGCATATTCTATGGCATGTTCTATAGCATAATCAAATTTCTGCTAATATGGTAAGTCATTCCATAAATCGTGGCTAACGTATATGCTAACATATGCATAATCAAATCTTTGCTAATATGGTAAGTCATTCCATAAATCGTGGCTATCATATATGCCAACACTCCCCCCTTAAGTTGGTGCGTGGATATTTGAAATGCTCAACTTGGACAATGCATTCTCAAACACAATCTTGCTAATGCCCTTTGTAAGAATGTCTGTAAGCTGCTGAGAGCTTGTGACAAATGGAGTGCAAATTTGACCAGAGATGATATTCTCTCGAATGAAGTGCCAATCAATAAATAAAAAATGTCTACTCAGATCATAAACAATTAACAATATCTCCTCAGACCATAAACAACCAATCATGTCTCCTTAGACCGTAAACAACTAACAATGTCTCCTCAGACCATTCCCAAAAAAATCCAAATACATACTTTTTTTAAGGAGCACTGCCCGCTTACATATAGCCAGAGAGCTTCCTTCTTAATATCCGGAACCTCTAAATTTTTTTTACCCAAGCCCTTTTAGGTGTTGGAGACCAACTATCCCAATTTACCCAACCCTAGAAGACTAAAAAAGAAATTGTAAAACCTAAATACCTGTTTTTGATAACAAAACAGCAACACAGAAAATAATGTATAGGCAACGTCACACGATGTTACAAACAGCCTAAGGTAGATGTCGCACAAGTAGCAAGGCTGCTGAAAGGTGTGGAAAGGTGTTGGCTCTGATACCAAGTAGAAATATAAAAAAAGAAAAAGAAAATGAGAGAATTGTGTAAAGGCTTGAATGAAATGAATAACTCATTTATATCTCTAGTATTTATAGATAAAAACAACACATGTTCCTATTATAAGAAAGGAAACTGTCGTACAGTATTGTATGAGTTGTCACACGTGTACAGTTAGTATTGTATGAGTTGTCACCTACCCCTCATTACCGTATATAGAATTACCATGTATAGGGTTTTCTTGTCCTCCACTCACCTACTTCC